CCCATCTATGCCTATTTTGTTGAGCATTCTTATCATAAAAGGGTGTTGAATTCTGTCAAATGCTTTTTCTGTGTCTATTGAGAGGATCATATGGTCTTTATTTTTGCTTCTGTTTATATGGTGAATTACATTTATAGATTTGCATATGTTGAACCATCCCTGCATCCCTGGGATGAAGCCCACTTGGTTGTGATGGATTATTTTCTTGGCAAGAACCTGGATTCGATTGGCTAGGATTTTGTTGAGAATTTTTGCATCTATATTCATAAGGGATATTGGTCTGTATTGTTGCATCCTTTCCTGGTTTTGGTATCAGGATTATGTTCACTTCGTAAAATGTGTTGGGGAGGATTCCATCCTTCTCAATGTTGTGAAACAATTTCTGCAGGATAGGCACCAGTTCTTCTTTGTAGGTGTGGTAAAATTCAGGTGTGAAACCATCTGGTCCAGGACTTTTCTTTTTAGGAAGGTTTTTGATTGCTGTTTCAATTTCAGTACTTGATATTGGTCTGTTCAGGAATTCTGTTTCTTCCTGGTTGAGCCTAGGGAGGCTGTGTGTTTCTAAGAAATTGTCCATTTCCTCCACATTTTCCAGTTTGTGTACATAGAGGTTTTTGTAGTATTCATAAATTATATCTTGTATCTCCAGGGCATCAGTTGTAATTTCTCCTTTATTTTCCTGATGGAGCTTATTAGAGCTTTTTCTTTCTTGCTTTTCATTAGTCTAGCCAAAGGTGTGTCAATTTTGTTTATTTTTTCAAAGAACCAACTTTTTATTATATTAATCTTCCGTATGGTTTCCTTGTTGTCAATTCCATTTAGTTCTGATTTGATCTTAATGATTTCACTTCTTCTGCTGGGTTTGAGGTTGGGCTGTTCTTCCTTTTCCAGCTCTTTGAGATGATTCATTAGGTTGTCTCTTTGTAATCTTTTCGACTTTTGGATATAGGCATTTATGGAAATAAACTTTCCTCTTAGGACTGCTTTAGCTGTCTCCCACAGGTTTTGGTAACTTATGTCTCCTTTGCCATTTAGTTCAAAGAATCTTTTGATTTCCATCTTAGTTAGCTCATTTTATGAAGTGATCATTCAGCAGAAGGTTGTTTAGTTTCCATGACTTTGTGTAGAAACGAGAACTCCTGTTAGGATTGATTTCTACATTTTTTCCATTGTGGTCTGAAAAGATACATGGTATAATTTCTATTTTTTTAAATTGTTTGAGACATGCTTTGTGTCCTAGGATATGGTCAACCTTAGAGAATGACCCATGAGCTGATGAGAAGAATGTATATTCCGTGGTTTGGGGGTAGAATGTCAGTCAGGTCCATTTGTTCTAGAGTTCTGTTTAAGTCCATTATTTCTTTGTTGAATTACTATTTGGGGGGGTCTGTCCTGTGCTGTCAGTGGGTTGTTAAAGTCTCTGACTATTATGGTGGTGTTGTTTATCCATTTGTTTAGATCAAGTAGAGTTTGCTTTATGAATCTGGGTGCACCAAGGTTGGGTGCATATATATTTAGAATTGTTATATCTTCTTGTTGAACTGTACCCTTCACCATTATATAGTGACCTTCTTTATCTTTTATTACTTTTTGATTTAAAAACTAAGGTATCTGTAATCAGCACCACCACACCAGCTTTCTTTTGGCTTCCGTTTGCTTGAAATATTGTTCTCCATCCTTTTACCTTTAGTCTAACTGCATCCTTGCAGGTTAGATATGTTTCCTGAAGGCAGCAGATACTTGGCTTGTATTTTTTTTATACATTTGGCTAGCCAATGTCTCTTGAGTAGGGAGTTCAAGCCATTCACATTTATTGAGATAACTGATAGGTGGGGCAGATTTCTGTTCATTATGTTGGGTTGAACTTTGTTGCTTTGTTTTCTCTCTTGAGCCATTGTGGTATTGGGGCTTTGATCTTTAGCTTATGAGTAGATATACATTCATGAGTGTTTATTGTGCTGATCCGTGGGTAAAACTGTTTTGAGTACTTCTTGAAGGGCCAGTCTTGTCTTGGTGAATTCCCTCAGTCTTTGCTTATCTGAGAATGTCTTGATTTCTCCTTCATATACAAAACTTAGTTTTTCAGGGAATAAGATTCTAGGCTGGGCATTGTTCTGTTTCAGAAGAGCGAGAATGGGGCCCCAGTCTCTTCTTGCTTGCAAATGTTCAGTAGAGCAGTCTGGCATTATTTGGATTGACTTCCCTTTGTATGTTACTTGCTTCTTTCATCTTACAGCTTGTAGAACGGCCTCTTTAGTTGATATTTTGGTCAGTCTGATGACTGCATGTTGTGACATCTTCCTGTTTGCATTGAGTCTCCCAGGGGTCCTTTGAGCTTCTTGAACTTGTATCTGGAGATTTTTAGCAAGTCCTGGGAAATTTTCCTCTATTATATCTTCAAATAGCTTGTACAACCCTTGAGTGTTGTCTTCTTCCCCTTCTGGTAACCCTATGACCCTCACATTAGGTTTCTTCACATAATCCCACATCTCTTGTAGGCTTTGCTCTTTTCTCTTATTTCTCTGCTCTATCTCTGTGACTGATTTATTTAATTGGAAAGTGTTATCTTCAATCTCTGAGATTCTTTCTTCTGTTTGATCTACCCTGTTCTTGAGGCTTTCCACTGTGTTTTGTAGTTCTCTGAATTGATTTTTCATTTCCAGGAGTTTGGTTAGATTTTTCTTCAGTGTTTCAAATTCTTTAGTGAATTTTTGTTCCAGGTCCTGGAGTCTTTTTGCATTTTCTTTGTGTTGGTTATCAAGTTGTTCTTGCAAGTCATTGAATTTTCTTACGATCCACATTTGAAATTCTTCTGTCATTTTAGTGGTCTGATTTTGATTGGTGCCCATTTCTAAGGGGCTGGTGCTCCTCTTTGGGGGTGTGCTTTCTGTTTGGTTCTTCATATTTCCAGAGTTCCTTCGCTGATTTCTTCCCATCTAGATCAGTTGTTGCTTCTTGCCTTTAGGTTTTTGTTTGGATAATGACGTACCCTGTTTAGTCTCTGAGACAGTAGGTGGTGTTTGTGGGTGAGATTCGACCACACCCTGTATCATGAGTCAGTAGGTACCGTGAAAATGGTGTGCAGAATCTCCTCCCTGTCAGTAGGTGGCACTTGCTGGGAGGAACAGGCTACACTGTTGTTTTAGGGTCTTGTATCCAGTTCTTGTTCCTCTGGAGAGGCACTGTACCGCCTCAGGTGGTGGGTGGGGCCCTGGGACTTCAAGGTGTGTCCTTATTCTCCACCTCAATGAGGGCTGGTCTGGGAGTGAGTCTGGGCAGAGCTGGGTTGGGTAAGCCTGCCCTTGGGCACCACCAATGCTATTAGCAGGGGTCAAAATTCTGTTCTCTGCTTCCAGGAAAAGCTGTCAGGGAGGGGCTGGAGTGGCCCCACTCAGTCATAAAGTCTGCATGTGGGGGTGGGGCTGTCTGAGACCCTTAGTCTGGAACAGGCCTCTCTCCTTTCCATCTTCTCTAACTCCACCGCTTCTCCTGGTCCTCTGCCAGCAGGCCAGGCTGTGATGTAGGTCGGGAGGTTCCCTGCGCAGTATTACTGCCTGGGCTGGGCACATGGCACCCTTTGGGAGGAGGGTTGCCCTCAAGCACACTGATCTGCCCCTGAAAGCACACACACCTTAGTAGGCTGTTCGGGATATCCCTTCTGTGCCCCTGGCAATGAGAGACCCAGGTGCACAGGATCTGGTCTGCAAGTCTGACCTCTGGGTCCCGGAGTTCAATCCCTGACCCCACCAGGGAGGGAATTGCCAGTCCTAATTCACCCATGGGGAACCCACGCTGCATTGATGTTTCTCAACCTCAGCGTCTGCCCCATTCTCTTGGAATCACTGGGCTGGCAGCACTGGGAGGGCTGGCGGGAAGGGAGCTCCCCATCTGAGTAACCCTCAGTCAGCTGTAGGGCCCCAAAAGGGAAGGTCCCGTTCCCTTGAGATGCCTCCGGCTGGCGGCTATATTGTCTCTCTTGGCAGCTAGGCATAGGACGGGAGAGGGGAGAGTGTAGCAATATGGCGCCTGCCATGCAGCTCAGGTATGTGCACACGGAGGTGCCCCAAGGGAGTTGGGAGCCTGGTGCCTCGTCCACAACAGGCTTACTGTTCACTGGCAGTGGTGTCTCTGGTCTGGTGTCCACAGGTCTCTCCACCCGCTGGGGAGCCCACCAGCAGTCCGAGATGCAAGGGCGGGGGAAGTTAACTGCTCCACCTACCCCTGCTGCTGGTGACCAGGCTACTCGGGAGGTCTCCGCTTCCAGTCTCCTCTGCAACTTACTCCCGTGGAGTCTCCCGTAGTCTCTGGTACCCCTTCTTCCGACTCGTCTGATGTATGCTTGCTTGCTTGCTTTTTTCTTCTAATTTCTCCTAGAATCTGTCCTTTCTGCAGAGACACTCTGTCTGGGAGTGTTTCTCCTCCGCCATCTTGCTCCGTTTTCTGAAAATGGATTTTATGATTGTAGGTGGAAACACAAGACTCAAGCAAAACACTGGCTGAAAATAATGATGAATATGGAGCACCTAATTTGAACAGAGTGGAAGAACGTGATGAGCCAGTTTTACCTTATGTAAGTATCAAAAGTTTTATAAAAATCCGATTTTTTTAAAGACTTAAGTAAAGCCTAGGGAAAATGAGACCAGGGTTGGTTGACAAATGAGCCTCTTGCTGACCCAGTTCCCTGGTTGCTGACCATATTCCTAACTGATAGTCTGCTTTTTTGTGACGTGTGTCACTGGCATATCTATATCTAAAATTTAGGCCCTGAAACTTGCAAAACTCGCCCAAAATGTGTTCTTAAAATCATGTGTGAAATATTTAATCTTAAAATTCTGGGTGGTGGGGGAGTTACCATTTTATTTCTCAGTAGCAAACCCTAGGACCAAATAAATATCCTAATGACAGTGCATGCTTTTATGGTATATAAGTACATTTGTTTCCTTAACAAACATATCATGTCCTCTGTGTGCCAGGCACTGTGCCCAATGGTGTTGTGAATAAGGCAGTCTTATACATTGTAGGGCAGGGAACAGACAATTAGACAAGCATTTAATAGTCATTGTTAGAGTGACCAGGTAATTTATTGTCCAGACTGGTGTGTTTTTGAGGATGCTAGGAGAATATTAACAATTGAGCCATACCAGCAGGTGTAAACCAGGACTGTGGTGGCAGGAGTGTAGAGTGGGTGACTTTAATCAGTGTGTACTGACAAGGCAGGGCAGCTGTCACAGTCAAGGAAGCTTGGTCAGGGAAGGCTTCCCAGAGAAAGCCAATGAACTGTTATTGAGTGGTGGCGTGGGAGGCTGAGGATGGTGTTCCGGGCAGAGAGCAGAGAGGAGGTGGTCTGGAGGGAGTGAAGCAGGGAGGGTTGTGGGATGAGGCTGGGAGAAAGCACGGACCAGACCAAGTAAGGACTTGTAATTCCTGCTCAGGAGCTTAGATTGTATCCTAAAGGCAGTGGGGGCTGATATGTCCAGAACTGCGTGTTAGAAAGACCATCTGGCTACAGTAAGGCGAAGAGAGTGGAGAAGTTGGTCTGAGACCAGTTAGGAGGCCATGGTAGTAATGTAGAGAAACAAGACATAGACAGCCTGCAGCCAGTGGTGTTTTCAAGAGCTGTTCAGAACATGGAGCTGGGTGGACTTGGTGCTAGTCTGTTGTGAATACATTTTTATTAAATGTCTGCTATGATATGTCATAGTGCAAAATCACTGAGGGCATGGGCCAGTGGGATAGGTGCTCTGAGGGACAGAGAGGGAGACCTGATCTAGTCTGGATGAATCTTCTGGAAGAAGTGAAGCTCGAGATTAGCCCGAGATGAGCCCAGAGGAAGGAGAGAGCAAGATGTTTTCAAGGGACTGAAATAGTCAAAATTGTGGCTGGGTTGCATGGAGTCAGGAGAAAGGTGTGATTTATAGCTGGAGAGGTGGAGAAAGGCCAGGTCATGCTAGATTCCATGTGTTGCTAGGGATTTTGGACTTAAGTGCCTTGGTAGTTATTGAATGGATTTAAGGATTTGATCTGTGTTTTTATAAGGTGGAGATAGAATTAAAGAGGGGCAGGAATGGAAAAGGGAATCAACTTAGGAAGTGGTTTCAGTCATCCATTTGCCAGACAACCAGTGTTAGACAGCAGAGACAGAGAGAACTGAATGGATTTGAGATCGGCTCACAGGATAAGGGAGAAGGGGTCAGGAGAGATCCCAAATTCCTTCCCTCAGCAAATGAGCTATGAGTGTTACCATGTGATAAGTTGATGAACATTAGAAGAGGAAGTAGTTTTTTGAAAATGATGGGTTCAGTTGCAAAGATGTTGCCTTTGTGGGAGCTCTGAGATATGCAGGTGAAAATGGCCAAGACCAGTTGACGTATGCTGTGGGCCTAGAGGACAGGAAGGGAGCCCAGACAGGAGATATAAATTCAACAGTCATGGCCATATGTGATAGATGATACAAGGGGAGTGAGTCAATACCTAGGAGAGTGTGCAGTGTGTGCAGGCCTGGGGGCTCAGGGAGAAACCATTAGAGATCCCAATGTTTAAGGGGTGGCCACAGGAAGAGAATCTAAGAAGAATGAGAAAGCATAGCAAGAGAAATAGAAGGAAATAGCTCAGATACCAGAAGAGACAACGAATATATAAGCTTTATCCCCATCCCAGGTTACCCAAATACACTTACTTATGAAAATGTCTATATTTCCATTGTAAAATTCCCATCCTATGGGGACAAATGTTAAGATACGTATATGCCCATGCCCCTAACCCCCGTGAATTCAGGAGCGTCAACGTACCATCCCCAAAGTTGACCCTCTCACTCATATGTTTGTAATACCCATCCTTCCCCCTCCAGTGCGGACACCCATAAGTTACTCTATATGTCCATTAGGTTGATTCCGTTAATACCAGTTCTGTAGTACATGGCGTTTTTCCATTCTTGAGATACTCACTTAGTATGGTTCCATCTCTATCAGATATATAAGAACTATATATCACATTGTTTCTTAAACTGAATAGATCCACGGTATACAGAGCCGACATTTTTATAACACTCATGTATTGAGTCACCTGGGGTTGTTTCCACAACTTTGTCATTGTGACCGTGCTGCTAAAATAAACAGTGCAGGTGTCTTTTCAAAATGACTTTTGATCTTTTGTAGATCCGATAGTGAGATCGCTGATCAAATGTAGATCTACTTGTACGCTTTAAGTAATCGTCCAATACGTTCCACAAGCTGAACCATTTTGCAGTTCACCAGCAGTGTAGGAGATCAAGCGTTGCATCCCGCCAACATATTACTGTTGGCGACTTTGAAAAGGCCATCCACGCTTGATCTAAGTCATCTCATTGTATTTGATTCATTTCTCCTGAGCGAGTAAGAGAGCATTTTTCATATGTTTGATTGGCCATTATTCTTCTCTTTGAAAGTTTCTGTTCGTGTCTTTGCCCATTTTTGATAGGTACTTGATTTTTCTTCCTGATTCCGAGGTCTAAAAAATTCTATTATCACCCTTTATTGATGTAAGCTGCAAAAATTTTCTCCTATCGTGGGTTGTCTGTTTGTGCTCTTGACAGTTTCCCCTGGCTGCTTAGAAGCTTTTATTGACAGTCCCCATTTATTTTTTTGCACTGCTGTGATTGCCTTGGGGTCTTCTCATAAGTGCTTTGCCTAGGCCAATGTCTAGAAGGTATCTCAAAGTTCCTCATATAATGCTAATAGCACACCTATCGTCCAAGCTGTTACCCAGCCTCACGTGTGAGTCTTCTGTGACGAGAAGTGGTGTTGATTTCATCCTACATGCTATCCACAGTTTCCCACAGCACATCTATTAATAACGATTCTGTTTTCCCAGTGATAGTTTTTTTGCTCTGCTTGTCGTCTAAGATGAGTGCTAATGAGGGATCGGTTATAATCTGGGATCTTTGTTCCTGGTGCACTGTCCAATTTCCTGTTTCTGGTGCCGTCTTCACTGGTTTAATTACTGATACGTTGTAGTAATATTAATCGAAACCTCCGTATTTTTGTATATGCCTAGATTAATTGCTATCCGGGTCTCCTCTGGTTCCATACGAACGTAAAACTAATTTTTATCTAATTTCTACAAAGAGATGGTATTTTAATAGAGATGCATTGACCGGTAGTCATTGTAGATAGACAATTTAACAAGTGTGATTCTGCCAACCCATACATGGTAAGCTTCACCTGTAGTTGTCTGCCTGTTTTCTTTCTTCATGTTTTCATAGTCTCCCGTAGAGTCCTTTTAACCTCCTTATTAAATAATCTAGGTAGCTTTATTTCCTTGGTTCTTTTGAAGAACTGATCTGATTCGGTCTACTGTATGTTGTTGGCGTATAGAACTGCTCTGATTCTTGTACTTGATGATCCTCGAGACTTTACCAAATTAATTCATCAGTTCAGATCTCTTGTGAATCCCTTGGAGTTTCTAGTTAGTAAATATCATTCAAGCCAAAGAGTAGAATTTGATCTCTTCTGCTCCATGGATGCCCTTAATACAGCTCTCTTGCTGTGCTTATCAAGAATCCCAGCACTATGTGAAAAGTGGGAGATGATGGCAACCCTTTACTTTTCCATTCTAAGTGGAACTGCGATTTCAATTGTTCCCCATTTCAGTATGAACTTGCTGTGGTTTGTCATATATGCTCTGATCAGACATTTTAGGTAAGCCCATCTATCGGCCATTTTGTTGACGCATTTTATCCATCAACAAGCGTGTGTCAATTTCAAATGCTTTCTGTCTAATTGAGAGATATTTCTTATCTCTCTTTGCTCCTCTGTGTTATGCGAGGTGAATGTACATTTACATTGCATAGTTGAACACCCTCTGCATCCCTCGGGATGCAAGCCACTTTTCGTCGAGGATTATCCTCTCTTGCAAAACCTGACGATGCTAGGATTTTGATATTTTGCATCTATCATCATAAGGAATTGGGCTGATTGTTGCATCCTTTCCTGTTTTGATATCAGATTATTCACTTCGAGAAATGTTGGGGAGGATCTCCATCCTTCTCAATGTTGTGAAACAATTTGCAGATACGCACCTATCTTCTGTAGGTGTGTAACAATTCAGGGTGGAAACCACTGGTCCAACTTTCTTGAGGAGGTTTTGATTGCTGTTTCAATTTTCCAGGACTGATATTGTCGTTCAGGAATCCGCTTTGCTTCCTGTTGAGCCTACGGAGGCCCTTGTTTTCTACAAATGCCATTTCCTCCAACATTTTCCCAGTTGGTACATAGAGTTTGTATATCATAAATATGATCGCTGTATCTCCAGTCAACAGTTTAATTCTCTCTTTTTCCGAGAGCTTTTAACGTTTCTTTGCTTTTCATATCTAGCCAAAAGGTTCAATTTGTTATTTTTCAAAGAACCAACTTCTTTAATATAGTAATTCCGTATGTTTCCTTGTTTCACATTCCATTTAGTTCTATTGTCGTAATGATTTCACTTCTTCCTCTGGTTCTGAGGTTGGCTGTTCTCCCTTTCCAGCTCTTAGATGATTCATTAGTTGTTCCTTTCATTTTTCGACTTTGCTAGAGACATTTATGAAAAATAAAC